TCCTTCCTAATCTTACATAAAATGATATGTTCTTTTGTATATGAAAAAATATGACCTTAACAGTAGTATCTAATGAATCCAATGCTGGAGATGAATAATACATTTTTAACCACTCAGAGGTTTTCATTCAAAATCATGGTAATGATATCTGCCTCAGGGTTTATATACTGGGAGTATTAGATTTGGGCTGACGAGGAAGCTTAGTGGTAGAATATTTGCCCAACAGGTATAAAACCCTGGGTTGTATCTCCAGAAGTTAACAGAATTTATTTTTTGTAGGCATGAACTCTGGGCCTGGGCACTGTCCCTCAGCTCTTCTGTTCAAGGCTAGCACTGTACCACTTGAGCCACAGCACCACTTCCGGCCTTTTCTGTTTATGTGGTGCTAAGGAATTGAACCCAGGGCCTCATGCATGTGAGGCAAGCACTCTACCACTGAGCCATCTTCCAGACCAATTTAACAGAAATTTAAATTTTAAAATTAAATTTAAATCTATAAGACAAAATGTAAAAGATTACTAAGTGATACCATCCTTGGGCATCTACCCAGAATATTATGTCTAGAAACAGTAAAGGCATTTGCATACCCATGTTCATCGCTGCACTATTCACCACAGCCCAGATGCCCTACAACAGATGAGTGGATCAAGAAAATGTGTGTATGCCAAGTACCAGTGGCTCACACTTGTAATCCTACCTACTCACGAGTCTGAGATATGAGGATCATAGTTCAAAGCCAGCCAGGGCAGGAAAGCCCATGAGACTCTTACCTCCAATTAACCACCAGAAAACCAGAAGTGGCACTGTGGCTCAAGTGGCAGAACGCTCATCTTGAGCCGAAGAGCTCAGGGATAGCACCCAGACCCAGAGTTCAAGCCCTACAACTGACAAAAAACAGGAAGAAAGAAAGAAAGAAAGAAAGAAAGAAAGAAAGAAAGAAAGAAAGAAAGAAAGAAAGAAAGAAAGAAAGAAAGAAAGAAAGAAAGAAAGAAAGAAAGAAAGAAAGAAAGAAAGAAAGGAAGAAAGGAAGGAAGAAAGGAAGAAAGAAAGGAAGAAAGAAAGGAAGAAAGAAAGGAAGAAAGAAAGGAAGAAAGAAAGGAAGAAAGAAAGGAAGAAAGAAAGGAAGGAAGAAAGGAAGGAAGGAAGGAAGGAAGAAAGAAAGAAAGAAAGAAAATGTGTGTTTGTCTGTGTGTGTATGTATGTTTATACGAACATACATACATATAATGGAATTTTACTCCTCTATCAGAAAGAATAATACGTAATTTTCAGGGAAATGGGTGGACCCAAAAAAAAATCATGTTAAGTGAAGTCAGTCTCAGAAAGACAAATAGCACATATTTTCTCTCATATGTGGAAGTTAGATCTAAAATATAAACATACATGAAAGCATATGCAAGATTATATATGAATATATACTCAAACAAATTGAGTAAAGGACTGGATACTTGGGAGGAATACAATGGTATTAACTCCTCTAAACAGTGTGTGCACAAACTGTTTAACAATACCAGGAAGTGGAAGCATGTTTACTAGGAGGGGGAGGGGCAGAGAGGAGAGGCAGATGAATGGGGAGAGGAAGAGTGAGCAAATGCAGTCATTACATTCAATGTATTCTACATAAAAGTTGAGCTGTATAACTTGAGGGTAGGGATGGGATTGGGAGACATGGGAGAGAAGGGTGAAAGGGGTATCGCTGATAAAGATGAATTGTACTCATAATCTGACTTGCTGAATTAAGACCCACCTCGTGTGACTTTTTGTTGTTGTTGTTGGCCGTAGGGCTTGAACTCTGGGCCTGGGCTCTGTCCCTGAGCTCTTCAGCTCAAGGCTAGCACTCTAACACTTGAGCCAAGTGCCACTTGGCACTTTTCTAGGCTCAAGCTCTAAATTTATAAAACAATAAAGTCTAACTACAGCATTTCTTAATGTCTATACCTTAATTTCAATATATATAAGTACTTTTCAAAAAGTAATCTTAGATAAAGTAAGCATATTTTTGTTACAAAAAAAGGCAAATTAGCCGGGCACTGGTGGCTCATGCCTGTAATCCTAGCTACTGAGGAGGCTGAGATCTGAGGATTATGGTTCAAAGCCAGCCCAGGCAGAAAAAGTCTGTGAGACTCTTCCAGAAAACTGGAAGCGGTGCTGTGGCTCAAGTGGTAGAGCACTCGCGTTGAGCTGAAGAGCACAGGGATAGCACCCAAGCCCAGAGTTCAAGCCCCATAACCAACCAAAAATAAAAATGGCAAATTCAATTTATATATTCATGACAATCATCAAGAAAAGAAACAACAAATACTGGTGAGGATGTGGAGGATAAAGGAACTCTCATACACTACTAGTAGGAATACAAACTAGTACAATCACTACAGAAATCAGTATGGAAATTCCACAAAAAAAAAAACTAATAACACATCTACCTTATAACCTGACATACCACTACTGGGCATACACCTGAAAAGAATTAATATGTAAGAAAGATATCTGAACACTCATGTTTATTGCTGCATTGTTCACAAACAGTGAAATCATCCCAGATACCCAACAACAGATGAATGGATAAATAAAATTATATATATACATTATATATACATATATAATGAAATATTACATAGCTGTAAAGAAAATTGAAATCATATCATCTGCAAGAAGACGCATGGAACTGAAGAACATGTTGAATGAGATAAGCTAAGCTCAAAAGGCCAGATATCATGTACAATATCATATGTGAAAGATCTAAAAAACTTAATATTCCTAGTATGTACATACATAGGTATGTATGCATATATATGTATGTATATAGGTATATACACACAAAGAACATAATTCTAACTATGGGACTATGTATATAGATAAGAAAAGAAAGATGGAACATAGATTATTTCCAAATATAATATAACTGAATGAAGATGACATAAGGAACCTCAATGAAACTGTTGATTAAAAAGAAATTAAGGGGAAGAGAAAGCAATAGAGACAGTTATTATAAGAAAAATGTAAGGTATGCATGTCAGAAATATTATAGTAAAAATCCTTGGAAAAATGTAATACCCTCTAAAAAAATAAATGACAGACAAGTAAAATTCAGAGAGAGGGAAGGGCCCCAGCAGAAGGGAGGAGGGCTAACGAAGAGGGTGAATAAGGCTAACTATGATCGAATTAGTTTATTTGTGTATATGAAAATAGGACAATAAAACCTGTTGGAACTGTTTTAAGAAGGGAAGTAGGTTAAGAAAGAGTGAAGGAAAGATGAGGTGTTAGGGCTATATTGCTTACATATATGGAAATGTCACAATGAAACTCCCTTTTTAAAAAATGTATTTAAAAAAAATTATTTTTATTGTGTGAAACTCCCTTTGCACAACTAATAGATGCTAATTTTAAAACAAATCATATATTCATGGATATCCCTCAAAGAAAGACAATACATACTAAAGCCAAGCCACATCTAAAATGGTCAGAGTTTTCTCAGTGATGATCTGCGTAGAATGTCCACGCACAAGGAACTGTCGTGTGTTGGAAGTGTGGTTCCCCTTCCTTCCAGTCCTTTACCCTTGGCCTTTGTCTTCGGGTTCCATTCATTTTTCTATCACTGTGAATATCATCCCTAATTCTCAGTCACCATGTGTGTGCGCACACACGTCCGTGCATATGCATGCATGTGTACATGTGCATATGTATATACATGTATGCATATGTGTGCACATGCATGTACTGTTACTGAGGCATGAACTCAGGGCCTGAAAGCTGTTTCATTAGCTTTTTCGCTCAAATCTGGCACTTTACCACTTGAACCACCATTTCACTTCCATTCTTTTTTTTTGCTGGTTAATTAGAGATAAGAGTCTCACAGACTTTCTTTCCCCAGCTGCCTTCTAACTGCAGTCCTCAGATCTCAGCTTCCTGAGTAGCTAGGCTTACAGCTGTGAATCCATGACACTAGGCACAATTCCTCATATCTTAGATCATTAGTACAATTGTCACAGGGACTGACACCTGTAATAGTACTCCAGTTCTATCTCATGTAAGTACTACCACTCTAACTTGGGTCCTGCCAACATTAGATCAATAGGTGAAGACAAAGACTTGGAGGTCTGTTCCTAAAAAGCAATTCCCCTAGCCAGGGAGATGGTGGCTCATATCTGCAAACCTGTAATTCTAGCAACTTAGTAGGTTAAGACCTGAGGATCCCAGTTGAGGCCAGACTGGACAGAAAAATCCATGGGACCATTATCTCCAGTTAACCAGCAATAAAGCTAATAGTGAAGGTGTGGCTCAAGTGGTAGAATATCAGCCTTGTGCAAAAGCCTAAGGCCCTGAATTCAAACCCCAGTAGTAGCACACACAAAAAAGTTAATGAATAGAAAATAAGTAGAATACATAGAACAATTCCTGGAAATCCAGAAGAAAAAAAGTAAATATATCAAATAGAAAGGGATGAAAGCCTGGACAAAGTAGTTAAACTGAACGAGTAGTTAAAACTAGCATGAAGCCAGTACTGATGGTTGACTGAGAATGGAAGTTTCAGGTTTGAACTCAGAAGAATAAAATCCATTAATCCATTAAACAGCAAAAGAAGCTGGAAGTGGAGGTATAGTTCAAGTTATAGCATACCAGCCCTAAGCAAAAAAGCCAAGCAAGAACACAAGGCCCTGAGTTCAAGACCCAGTATAGGCACAAAAATAAAAAGCAATGCCCACCTCATGCAGTTCTAGTTCCACTTGCTGATGCAGGCTCCAGCCTTCCATGAGCCCTTATGCGAAGCCTAGCATCTTGTTGGGAACTGAAGCCTAACATTCCCATTCAGATAGTCTACTCCCTGCTGTATTTTCTCAATTCAAAGGGGCCATTCCCTACAGTCCAAATTCATGGCCTTTATCATCCCAGAGGTACTGCACAAGCTATCTAGTAAAAATGGCCAATCTTTATAGTTCTTGAGGATCGGATACAATAAAATAAAATAAAATAAAAACAAAAGAGGGCATCAGCCAGCCTACCTGATGTTTTCCAAGGCATTCGTTATCTGCTGTTGTTCAATATCATAGAGTTTCACCTTGAAGCCTCCACTGGCAAACAACATAGCCCAGTTTCGCCCAATGAGTCCGCTAAGGGAGAGAAAATGAAGACAAGATTCAAGTTAATTCAATAATCAATCTGCTTTTTATTCTTATCTAAAGCAGGGCAGCAGTGGGTCATACCTCTAATCTGAGCTGTTCAAGAGACTAAGATCTGAGGATCACGGTTTGAAGCCAGTTGGGCAGAAAGTCCATGAGACTCTTATCTCTCCAATTAAACACCAAACAGTTGGAGGTAGACCTGTGGCTCAAGTGGCAGTATGCCAGTCTTGAGTGAAAAAGCCAAGCAAGAATGTAGGGCCTTGGCTCCAGCAGACCCCCTCAGCCCCTCCTCCCCCTCCAGCTCTCCATCCTCCCTTCTTCCTTTCTGCAGCTCCTCCTATAGCTCCTCGCAAGGGCAGTCACCATCTCAGCCCCTTCTCCCACTTCACTGCCTCCCATCTTCTCAGTGGTTACTCCTCCATTGAGCTCTCCAGACCAAATCCCTCCCCTCTCTCCCCCAAGGTTAACTCCCGAGTGGCACTGTGCCTCATTCTAGGCCTCGACCATCCCTCCCCTTTCCAAGCCCTCTTATACTCACTCTGCTCCAATCCCCCCGCCACACACACACACATACTACACTACCTACTAATTCCTTCTCTGCTAAAAATCTCCCAACCATCTCCTCTAACTTTTCTTGTCTGGTATCAGGTCCATCTCTCTCTCAATCTCTCTCTCCATTTCTCTCTCTCTCTTTCTCTCTCTCTCTGATGATCTCTAGAGTGGAAATCATTTCCCACTAAATTGCCTCTATTCCCACTGACAGCCTTCCACTTGTGTCTTGAGAGATACAGACAAAGTCCCAGGGACCCCCTTCTAGTTCCCTCTCAAGGACCAGCCATCCTGAATCAGTGGCCCATCTTGTACATTCTTCTTCTGTTGGCAGTTTGTATTTTCTAATCCAAAACTGTTGGTCTTCTACAAACTCCTTCTACTAACCTCTGTCCCTGCCTGCCTCTCTGTGTGGACATAAACCTTACATTTCCTAACCCCCTTCTCTGGCCAACACCTTCTTTCCTTCTACACCTTAAATAAGCAGGCCTCTGCCCTGTCTGTCATTAATCCATCACTGACAGTAGCTGGCTAACACATTGGACCAGCTTCTCTCTTCTACTGCTTTTCCTTTTACTGCTCTCTCCTTTTCCCTCCCAAAAATGTCTCTGAGACTCAGACCATAATTCAGTTACTTTCTCTTTCCTAAGTCCACTCACTTTGGTGTCTAAATTGTTCATTTTTCCCTTAAGCTAAACTCCTCTAGGAGGCTTCAAATAAAAATCCCTCCCTCTTCCCTATCAAATACCTCTATCCAATCAGCTCCTCTCCTTAAAAAACCTGCTCAGTCACCCCCTCCCCCAATTCTCTTTACAGGCCTTGGAGACTGACACCTGAAAAAAGAAGACACATGGTTAGTTTTCTACAAACCCCCTCCCACTCTACCATCAACCTTACTCTTCTTCACTCTTCTAGGTGTTAAGTGATCAATTCATATTCTGATATGCCTTGCTAACAAAATTACTGCCTCTCCTCACAGGCCCTGTAAACTGAGATCTAACCATCTAATATATTTTGTTAACAAAGATGTCTAAACTTATTCTATTATCAAATTTATAATTCTAAATAACTTTTTACAGCTATCCTGGTACCTCTTGCTTTAAAAAAAAAATCTGTACCCCATGATCTAATGCTACATTAATTAACTCTCTAAATGCCTAAAATCACTAGTTTCTAAATAGGCCTAAAACAGCTCAGGCATCAAGAAAACGCCATTCTACGTGTCTCCATGTTCATGCCATGCCATATGTCTCCACATTTATATATAAAGAGCCACATTTCCCTACCTAATGGCTGGTTTTAACCTGTAAAAATTAACTATGAACCTGCCAATCTGCTTCATAACTCCCAACGCTGCCTAAGCCATCTAGCTGTTACCACCCCACAAGGAGCTCTTCCAGCCTCAACAACAAGAGGCCTACTGCTGGATAAAAACTGTACATTGCCTTCACTTTTTCCTTGCTTGGGATACCAGGGCTGGTGGTAGGAGCCTATAAGGGTGTTATACATTTGGCATATATAGTGACAAAAAACATTAACTACACCTCCTCTGCCATTACACTGCTATCCTTAATCACACTACCTTGATTACTCTTACTTCACCATCAACAGTGTGAGGGGGGTCAAAACATGTGCTGCTTCGATTTAATGGATAACAGCTATGCCATTAAGAAATGAATCAGGCATCTTAAAAAACTTTTAAAAAGGATCCAACAAGGGGAAATGGGACCTATTCAGGTGGCTTATACCCAGGCTCTTGCCCATCTTGGGTCCCTTAACTGCAATGTTTTGCCTTATACTGATTGTGCCTTGTGTATTAAGGTACATGCAGAACATCTTCATGGGGAAAATGAGATTTATCACCAACCAGTCTGTCAATCAGATGCTCCTAGGAGGGTACCCAGTTGAGTATTCCCCACTGACCACTTCACCTCCTTCTCAGTAGGAGGCAGCTCCAAAGAAAAAAGACCTTTACCCATGCTTCCAACCTGGTGCCCTCATTCAATTATTAAACCAAAGAGTTGGGAATGTTAGCCCAATGAGCTCCCTTCCCATAGCTTGGCATGCTCCTTCCCCCTTCCAGAGCTTGGCATGTTCCCTTTCTAGGCAATACTAGGCCCATTTAGTAAAGGCAATGAATAATCAGCCTCCAACCCCCCTTTTACCTTGAGATGGCACTCTTCTGGGGCAGCTACCAACATATAAGGTGGCAAGAGCCCCTTAGAGTGACCTTCAGGTCCAGGCAGCTGCAGAGTCCCTTATCTACTACTTGGGCAGCAGCCATGAATCCTAGTCTGCCATGATAAAGCCCCTGGTCCCCATGTCCCACATCAGGGTCTCCGCCCCCTTGTCCCTAGCCCCTCCTAGGCTCAGTAGGTTATAGAGGTCACCACAGACAATAGCTGCAGCTTCTTCTCACTCCTTGCTTGTGAGAAGGGGTCTTACCAGTCCCCTTTGCTGGCAATAAATCTTTCTTTGTTCTCTGTACCTGGATGTCTGTGTGGTTTTCTGGCAAAAGTCTACTAATATAGCACACATACTTATGGATTTTAATTAAATTCTGTAGAAGTGCACTGATGGATACAATATATTCCAGCCATATAAATTACTATCAAATAAACATTAAAATTCTGTTATTCAGAGTATTGGATACAGTTCAAGTACTCAATCTTCAGTGGTTCTAATACTGGATAGCAATGGTGTATGGTCATTCCCCTATATCCACACATCAAAGATACATGGGGAAGACATGCACAGACTGTGCTAGTCATTGTTATTTTGTAAATAACTATTTACTTGGCATTTACACTACACTAGAATTATACGTTATTGACAGATGATTTAAAGTATACAACAGGATATGTATAGGTGCTATGTAAACACTACATTTTTCTATTTTGATGCTACTAGGATTTGAACTCAGGGCTTAGCACTTCCCAGTCAGGCACTCTACCACTTGAGCCATACCCTAGACCTTTTTGTTGCCATTGTTTCTTCAATAGAGTTTGATTTTTTGCCCTGGCCAGCCTGAATCACAATCCTATTTCTGCTTTCCATATAGGTAGGATGACCTACCTATTTATTTGTTGACATGGGATCTCAGGAACCTTTTGCCCAGGCTGACTTCCAACCTTGATCCTGCTGATCTCAACCTCTAGAGTAGCAAGGATTACAGGCAAGAGCTACCACACTAACAAATTTTTATATAAGGGTCTTGAGCATCAGATTTTTATATCCTGGAAGGTCCTGAAACCAATCTTCTAAGGATACATTTGGACAACTTGGTAAAAAACATTCCTACCGGGCTGTGGTAGAGTGTTTGCCTTGCATACATGAGGCCCTGGGTTCGATTCCTCAGCACCCCATAAGCAAAAAGAAAAAAGCCAGAAGTGACACTGTAGCTCAAAATGCTAGAGCGCTAGCCTTGAGCTGAAGAGCTGAGGAATAGTGCCCAGGCCCAGAGTTCAGGCCCCACGACCAACAAAAAAAATTCCTACTGTCTCAGAAAGTTCTATTGGACTTAACTCTGCACATTGGTACATAAATCACTCAAAAAGTACCTGTCTATAAGGCCCTGTCATACCAAAACCCATCTCATCCCTTAAAAAAAAAAAATCACCATGTCACCAGACAAAGGAGGTTTAGTGAGGCTCCCCTTTAAATATAGGAATTCTTCACTTAGGGTCCTTGACTTCAAACGCAGAATAAGAATTTCTGGACAAGTCACAATGGGAGGAAAACTTGGCAGAGCTTTATTAAGTAAACAAACAAGAAAACAGACAAAAAAGCAGACAAACAGAAGGGCAGGGGCACTCTCTAGCAGAGTATGGGTGCTCTCATAGGGACACAAAAACACAGATACAAATACACAGAAGGACACACCCAAAGAGATACACAGCTCCTTGGGCTGTTGGGTATTTATAGGGTAAAGACAGGGGGGTCTGGTAAGTTATGCAAAGCTAGATGCTTTGTCTTTGCTTTAACTACACCTAGTGTTTTCTTTCTCTGAGTTTCCAGGTAAGAATGCATCCTGCCAAAAAATAGAACCTTATCCTAGAAACAAGTAGATCCCCTGCTATTTCCATTTTGGGACATCCTGCAGGCAGCTGTGAATTTTTGGGTGAGAAATGCATCCCTCAGGAAAGAATGCATTCAGGTGCCTCTCTTTGAAGCAGAGATACAATTTAAGTTTCTAAATACCATATTTCTGAGTTGCCTTCACCGGGCCTTAGTTTCCTTGAGTTATCCTGCTTCATTCCCCCCCAAATGACTTTTGTTTCCCTTAATCTTAAGGGAAGTACATCTCCTGTATTTGCTGTTAGCTGACTACCTCATTTTTCCTAGTCTATCCGGCTTCAACAGGAAACTGTTCTCTGGCCTCCTTAGCATTTTTTTCATTACAAGACTCCAACTACATACACTATGAGCAAGAAGCAGTT